TATTGCTGAGACACCTGAGGTGGATCGGTCATGGGTGCCGTATGGATTCGACGCGGATTCCGAAACAACTATTGTATGGTCAGCTGAGTATTGGGAAGCGGCACGTGGGAAAACCAAAGTTACGATACCAGGACATGATTAAAGTGAGCCCCTCACGTCCTAATCTTGATTGCCGATCATGGGAATCGAAGGCGGTTTATCGGCTTGCATGGCACGATCTGATCCCGAAGGCAGTTGCCGAAGTGCGGAAGAAAGTCCTCATGTATGCAGAGAAGAAGCGGCAATTGCGGAAACGGCAGGCACCGATGGGTTGAACTCCATTGGCTTCGAGCGCGCGGTGCTGTAGCACATTCTGTCCCGAGCACCTGAGTCAGGCAGACCGAGTGAGTCATGAGCGAAGCCTCTCGGAACCACCACCGAAGCGAGGAGGAGTCTTGCAGTGTACGTATGCAGAACCAGCGTAGGGTTTGTATGTACACTGCATTCGATTTCCTAACCGCGTGTTTGCATACAAAGTCACTTTATTTCAGGTGGTGTGTTTCCAAATTTGCCTTAATGCTTTTCCTTCTCATATAAATTTCGACCTGTACTCTGTTCCATTAACTTGCACACCACGCTTAAGCCAATTGTGTTCGATTTCCATAACACGTTTTTGTTGTTGGCGTTTTCGTAAAGTATAATTTATGACCTCATGAACTTATTTAGGATACTTTTGTAAACAACTTACTTCCTATGCTCATTACCTTAAGGTTTACTTCCCCGTTTCCTTTTTTATTTATCGCGTTATTTTCTTTGTCTCTCTCTCAAATTATTGGCTGTTTTTGATATCCCAATGTGGCTGCGCTTGATGTGTATTTGACAAGGTGCCTACCTGTCTATTACCCACTATCTCGTCAATACTGGCTCCAGGAGACAGTTGGTCGTGGCTGGAGGAGACGGGATGCACAGTCCTTGTGGCCGTTTTAAGATCAAAGATTTGTTCCATTCACTTAGTGTGGAGCGGACTACGATCCAGCCACTGCCTTGTGTGCGCTTGATTCCCAAATACAGTGTGCTTGTGTTTGCCTGTGAAGGATTGTGGGCTGGCTCCGTTGAAGAAACGTGGCTCCCATCCGCATGCCTCCCGGTCTTATTCCTTCGAGTTTACACTGGGTATGGTGTGTGTGGTTGGAGCTGTGGGTGATGCAGCGCAAGCCGTCTATGGTCCCTCTGTAGGCGCAGGCGTCATGTGGTTGGCCACAGTGACAGGCAAATCCGAAACCGGATGCCGCCAACCATGTATGTATGTGTGCCGCGTGCTGATGCTGATGTTGCATTCTTGATGCTTCTTCAACGCATTTGGCCTAAACCAACTTGCACTTAAACTAGGTATTTTAAGCTGGCAAATTTCATTCCACTTTATTTGGTTTGTTCTGCCTACCTGAATTCTGTTCTGTTAACTGACCAAGTTGCTTACATTAATTGCGCTTATCTTCGGTAACTTTGTTGCGTGTTGTAGCATTTTCATCCTACTTGTGGGCATTTTTCCTTATTGCGGATTCGTTACTAACCAATTTACTTCTATGATTATGTAGCTTAGAGTTATACCACCGTATCTGTATGAATTATTGCATTTTTTATTTCATGTTGTCGTTTCAGTTGTTCGGTTGCTGCTTGAAATCCTAGATGTGGCTGCGCTTGATGTGCATGTTGACAAGGTGCCTACCTGTCTATTACCCACCACGTCGTCCATACTGGCTCCAGGAGACCGCTGGTCGTTACTGGAGTGGACGGGGTGCACGGTCCTTGTGGCCGTGTTAGGCTCAAGGAGCGGTTCCATTCACTCAGTGTGGAGCGGACTACAGTAGAGTCACCGCCTTGTGTGCGGTTGATTCCCCAAATAAAGCGTGCTTATGTTTGCATGTGAAGGAGTGTTGGCCGGCTCCGTTGGTGACACGTGGCTCCCATCCACATGCCTCCCGGTCTTATTCCTTGGGGTTTACACTGGATATGGGGTGTGTGGTTGGAGCTTGGGTGGTTAAGCGCAAGCCATCTATGGTCCCTCTGTAGGCGCAGGCGTCCTGTGGCTGGCCACAGTGACAGGCAAATCCGAAACCGGATGCCGCCAACCTTATATATATATATATATATAGTTATAAACGCAGTACTCTGGTTATCAACGGGAACACAGCCACCCCGTCGATAGCATGTATTGCACATCTTTTTGCACCCGTAACACACTAAGTTCGCAGATTGGCTCTAACACAGTGCAAACTATATCAGCCTCAGTAAACGCAATCAACATCAACCACATTTACTGCAGCCCAACGACACAACTAGAAATTTAAACACAAACAACACACCAGTCACTAGCCATATAAAGCGTGTGTCAATACAATCGCATACGAAAACATCAAGCCCACGGATAAATATCCACAACGCAACATTACCCCAATACACAACTCATGCATGCGTCCGTCCCAATGACCTGCCAACTCTGACAAACAAATTTGTATTCCATTACAGAAGAGTAGGAGGGGGAGTTGAATGTTATGGGTAGAACTTCGTCACATCTAGGCTCACTCAGACAGTCGCCACATGCCCGGAAACGCACTGTACGCGCGTTTCCTCCTTTCGGTAATCATCAGCAATGCGCATTCCATCGGACCCTTGGTAGGGCTCGAAACCGCAACTCGACTGTTGCCGGTCCGTGGTTGAGACCATTGAGCTACAGGGGACGGTAACGACCATCGTGAATAAATTAGTAGATGTGATATAGCGCCGCTCACTAACCACTGACTTACACGTTACTGAAGTGCAGAGGACAGGGTAGCCCCCTCACCAAGCGACGAGCTTAACAAACTTACGCCGCCAATTATCTTATGGCATTATAAGCAGTATTTTATCCACAACTGGCACTAAACAATTCACTTTGCAATAAGTCTGAGTCAAGGATTAAAAATATCCACTTAACACTGAAAATCCGTGAGGTTTTTAGCTCAGGATGCGGATGAGGGAATGCGGGTGTTCTCTGAGTTTGCTGATTTGGTTGCTATCGTTTCATCCTCAGGTTACACGACATCATCAATGCGAATTATGCGGGCCAACAGTACGTCGAAGCTGACTGCACGGTCAACTCAAGTGGACCAATCGACTTATGAGGTTCGAATCAGTAAGTGCTCAATACTTATTGGGATCTGTAATTGGCCCACATAAATCGCACCGATGATGTCGTCTAGACTGACGATGAAACGTTTGTAGCCAACTCAGCCAGCTCGGAGAACATCCCCTACCCTCAAGTTAACACTAAGTAATGGAGACACATAAGGGAAAAATGCTTTTCGGTAAAGTCACATCAGACCCCAAAGTTTACATGTCACTGAGTGTGCGGAAAGCGTTAACTCGGCCTGGAATTGAGTACTGGGCTGTTTGAACGATCAAAATTAATAACTTGGGGCAACGATGCATATGGTGAACCAAGTGAACTAACTAAACATGCATACACAAGGCTCAGTGGTCAGAAGTAAGTATGTAAGACAACAATCAGATAATAAGTGACAGTGTCATTTGGCCCAGGTAGTAGTAAGGGACTTATGTATCGTTTCTGTACTCATAATTCCGGCTTCAGATGGTGGATGTAGATAGCCTGGGTGATAGGTAGGATCTGTTTGCGTAATCCCGGAGAGAAGTGTTCAGGTAGTGAGTAGATGATGTTGAAGTCATTCTCGGAAATTTTATGGCCACATTCAAGGAGGTGAACTACGAGGTGTCTATCTCAGAGGATTCGTGTGCACATCCCGGCATGGTTTTACAAAGGCAAAATGTGATTCTCAGTCAGCTCAACCATGTCGCACTTCCTTGAGTTTGACCATAAATCTTCCGAGAATGACTTCAACGTCATCTAATCGCTACCTGAACACCTATCTCTAGGATTACGCTAACAGATCCTACCTATCACCCAGGCTATCTACATCCACCATCTGAAGCCGCAATTATGAGTACAGAAACGATACATAAGTCCCTTACTACTACCTGGGCCAACTGCCACTGTCACATATTATCTGATTTTTGTCATACATACTTAAATACTTCGGACTACTGAGTGTTGCTTATGCAGGTTTAGTTAGTTCACTCGGTGTACCATCTTCATCGTTGAGGCAAGTTATTGATCTTGATCGTTCAAACAGCCCAGAACTCAATTCCAGCCCGAGTTGACGCTTTCCTCACACTCAGTGTCATGTAAACGTTTGGGTCTGATGAGATTTTACCGAAAAATATGCTTTGTCTTGAAGTCACTACTGCTACTGATTCATATTAATGAAACGAGAATATTTGCTTTGCTGAAGATCAGCATTGTCCTAGGTTCATTGAAACACATAAGGGCCACAGAACAAGCTCCCGCCGTGCAGAGTAGATATCCACCAAACACCCACGTGGACCGACGGAATTAAGTAGGCACAATTGATCCATCCGACATCCAATTACATGGATAGGCAGGATAACCCAATTAGTATACGCAAAAATAAACGACAGAAAGAATGCATTCACCAGTCCCTTATTCGTGCAGCAGTCAGAAAGCAACATTCAAAGCCACCCACGTTCAACACCCACCCTAACCCCAAGACCTAGGGGATTGTTTTTACTCCACACCCAGCATCCAACACCACCACGACGATGAATGGACAAACAATCACCGAATACCACCACTGCTCACTCAACCTGAACATGAAAAGGAATCGAGGAACACAAAACAGCCTTCGCACCACTCACATGCACTACACACAATTCGCAACCACAACAAAACAACACACATAACACCAAGTGTCAACATATTTCTGAGGAACTGAATGAAAAAATTCACAAACAAAATTCACCGTTCGGCGAAACTTTTATGCCGTCCGTGAATACAAGGCTGACACTAGCTTGCACTCAGGACCCAGACTTCTATACACACGCACTGCTCAGGTTGGACCACATACACACAGACACATAATGAGCATCAGCATCCAGGTCTCACTCACTCCGCAATGCATTAGCCTCAGCAACATCGATAACCATTGGTTCTAATACAGTGCCACCTCCATCACGAGAAAATTGTCCTGACATCGGCTGGCTTTTAATAGACTCCAAACTATACAACTGAGCGAGGCTGCAACAACATCAGGATGGGTAGCGGGTACAATGATCGCGTCCTAACTTATACACAGTTTGTCGTTGCAGTCGTTTGTGAACCTAGGGTTGCCACTGGTTTCTGTTGATCCCACCTGCTTGTGATGATGACTTGCTCCCATGTGTGCTCTTGAGAAGTTACCCTCTGCGGATATCTGATTTGCCGTGCTGAGTTTTACCTTTGCTTTTGGATTACTGTGTTATAAATGCTTTCTCTGGGTGCATTGTGCACCAATACGTTTATTTTGGTGCATTTTTCCATCTGTGCAAATTTGGTGGATATTCTGTGGCTACTGTAGCAGATCTCACTGATTGGCCTCACTGCAGTTTGTCCGCCGTCTTGACTTTTTTTACAACAATCGAACCTGAGTAAACCAGACCACCAATTTGACCGACAGCGTTTGGATTCCGCCTAGTAGTGTCGACGTTGCAACGAACGACATTCGCAGAACTGGCAGCCAAAATGGCACGTGCTGCTTGCCCACGGAAAGCTAAGCCTAAAGCTTCCTCAAAAAACGTTAGTTTGGCGCTGACAGCTGTATTAAACATGTACGATTCCTAATGGAATGTAGCAATGGTTAAAAATATTTTCATCCTCGATATGCTCGCCATAATTTCAGCCAGAAAAATAAGTTGCTAGTACTACTGATGGCTTCTGCTTTTGCACTGAGTGCACGTCTATTCCAAACGTCAAATGCATACTTTTGTTCGCACAAAAGTGCGATAAGATGACAAAGATTGTAGACCAACCAGCAGTCGTGAAAGCTGTCCCACAGTAACAGGACAAATCACTGCCTCGTACCCGATACTCAACAGCAAGCTCAAATCCAGAACAGTATAGCTGGGTCAAAAATGAAGCAAAGATCCAGAGTTAGCCACCCTGACACTAGCGGCTGCTCATAAAGATGCGTACGCCACACCTTCTTCTTCAGAAGCTCCCGCCACATCGAACATTGTTAAATAGCCGACAACCTACGCGTCCGTTATTTCTCCGCGTATGAGAGAGGCACCATCCAGCGAAACACCGCCCACTGCCAAACGAGTTATTACTACCAATACCACCACTTGACACAACACCCTGTCATT